AAACTCGAGGGAACACGAAAGAAGCTCGACGCTTATTTTCCACCCGTCTCTGAATAAAAGCAGCTAATCAATTTTTACAGAACCTTCCCTCAGTATTTTTCCATTTGCTGTTCCCGTCTGTTGTTCATCGACCAAATAACACTGAAGCCATTGGATTATTTGGTAGATGAACAACAGGCCAACAGACTTTAAATCTGAAAGTTACTAGTTCTGTTCACTCATATTTCAGTATTTATAAAGCATGCATTTGATCTTATTGAGCTACTCTAACACTTTGCCTACTTTAGCTTGTTGTCCATTATGTCCTGATGTATTTTTAATAGTTTCGGACGGTTGTTAGAGACTCGAGGATGACTAGTTGCACTCTCACAATGCTGGCTCAAACACTGGATTTTTGTATGAATCGTTTGTTTGAATCAATACTTTTAAACATCTTTGTATCAAACAAGAAGATCTATAATTAACTGAGGAATACAATCCTGTTCATTTCAATACCAGCTGCTTAAAATCACTGGAAACATACCCCTAAAACAGCTGATTGTTTTCTTCTTTTTCACTTCTTGTGAGATTGCATCCCTGGAAAACTGGGGATCTGTGCTTTTATGATAACAACATGAGCTAAATGTATTCCCAAAGTAATAACAGTGATAATGCAGCATTCCTTCAAGATTACTGTAGGAGAAACCTGGAAATGTTTCTGTTTTTACAAAGAAACCACACAAGCAATCCATTCTTTGAAGTAATACATCAATAAATAAGTCATCACAAGCAGCTTTATATAATCACTATGACTCATAACTAACTTTACTTGCACTTTACATGGAAGGAATCTAGATGATGTCTAGTTTAGATTAGAGTTGATGAAAAGTCGCTTTGGATAAAAGAGTCTGCTAAATGCAGGAATGTAAATTTGAAAAGCTAAAAATGTATTAAATCACAAAAATGTCAAATTAAAATAAATACATTTACAATATTTTTATTTTATAATAGAAAATATTTTTTTATAATTTTTTTATTACTTTACAATAAATGATGTTAAATGCAAATTAATAAAAAATTTTTTATATATTTTTAAAATAATATTTTAATAAAATATACTAATACTAAAAATATGTTTTTTATATTTTATTGTTCTGCATGTGATGTGAACATTTATAATGTTTGTATTATTTTATAATAAATCAGTTTTACTAAAAATATACTGCTGCTAAAATTATTTTAAAAATTATATATATTTTTTATATTTTATTTGCTTATCTGCATGTCGCATGAACATTTATAATATTTTTATTATAATAAATCAAGTTAAATACAACAAATGTATAAAAATAAATATTTTACTAAAAAATTCTAATTCTAAAAATATTTTTTTAATATTTTATTGTTCTGCATGTGATGTGAACATGTATAATATTTGTATTATTTTATAATAAATCAATTTTACTAAAAATATACTGCTGCTAAAATTATTTTAAAAATTATATTTTAATAAACTTATATTAATACTAAAAATATATTTTTTATTATTTTATTTGTTTATCACATGAACATTTATAATATTTGTATTATAATAAATCAAGTTAAATGCAACAAATGTATAAAAATAAATTACAAAAAAATACTAAAATACTGAAAATTATATAAAAAATTATATTTTACAAAAAAATACTAATACTAAAAATTATATAAAAAATTATATTTTACAAAAAAAATTACTAATACTAAAAATTTGTTTTTTATATTTTATTGTTCTGCATGTGATGTGAACATTTATAATGTTTGCATTATTTTATAATAAATCAATTTTACTAAAAATATACTGCTGCTAAAATTATTTTTAAAATTATATTTTAATAAAATTATATTAATACTAAAAATATATTTTTTATTATTTTATTTGTTTATCACATGAACATTTATAATATTTGTAATATAATAAATCAAGTTAAATGCAACAAATGTATAAAAAGAAATATTTTACTAAAAAATACTAATACTAAAAATTATATTTTACAAAAAAAAATACTAATTCTAAACAAATCTTTGCTTATCTGCATCTCATGCGAACATAAACTGACATGATCAGAGAACTGTGCACATATGTGGTTAAATTATTTAAATATTGTACAGTGTTTGCTCTCTAAAATCTTGGTTATATGTGCCATATGTCTCATAAGAATTCATCATTTTATTTTGGGGATGTCCGTCATGCCCTCTCCTTCCGAAACATGGGGGTTTTGCATTATATTTTAATCAAATTATATTAATACTAAAAATATATTTTTTATTATTTTATTTGTTTATCACATGAACATTTATAATATTTGTATTATAATAAATCAAGTTAAATGCAACAAATGTATAAAAATAAATATTTTACTAAAAAATACTAATACTAAAAATTATATTTTACAAAAAAAAATACTAATTCTAAAAAAATCTTTGCTTATCTGCATCTCATGCGAACATAAACTGACATGATCAGAGAACTGTGCACATATGTGGTTAAATTATTTAAATATTGTACAGTGTTTGCTCTCTAAAATCTTGGTTATATGTGCCATATGTCTCATAAGAATTCATCATTTTATTTTGGGGATGTCCGTCATGCCCTCTCCTTCCGAAACATGGGGGTTTTGCTGACCCCTTCATCTGTGTGACACCCAATAGTTCACATCTCAGGTCAGGAGGAACTGTACTTTGCACTCTGTTGACTTTTAGCTCAAATCAGATTATAAATAAAAGTCTGTGCACGTGTTTACCTGTAAACAGTGATTTACTTGATGTGTCACAGACACTGAGCAAATTCTCATGAACTCATTCGAGCATTTATAATTTTATCGTAAAATTAGATTCGTTTCATGGAAAAGGACAGCTTCGACTCCTCTGGCAGCATCTGAGATTCATTTGATCTGATTCACTTTAACTGACCTGCAGAAGACTCTTAATACCGTGAAAACTTACTTTAGTAGCACGCGAGCGTGAATGGCAAGTTTTCAGTTCTTCATTTAAGCTCTTCTTCTCATTTAAGGCGAATGATTCGTCAGTAGAGTAGTCTGCTTGGTTCTACATGATCACAGCCAATCATAATATTAAAAATGAAATGTTTTGATGAATTATTGATTGATCATTTCTGAGTACTCAGGTACTCATGTACTCAGGTTCATCAGTGGGTGGCGTTTAGCTCTGTAACTCCCGCCTTATATTTAGCTGAACACAAACTTCTTCCACATATAAAAACTTACAAACGCTATCACGCAACCGACCGACTCGCCAGCTACCGCACGTCCACGCTCGCTGCGTGTGTGTGTGACGTGTGTGACGTGTGTGTGTGTGTGTGTAGCGACCAACAATTAGTCCAAGTGTGTGATCGTAATAATGGCTGTGGACGGTACAGATGAGAATAGTTTAGTAAGTGTTTTTCTATTTTTCTGCGTTTTGCCCCTGCTGGTAGATGCTGAAACTACATCTGATCGGTGTTTTAGGTGAATGCAAGCGTCATTGAAAAGAATAGGAATGGATAGCTTTTCCATGCATCATATAGAGGGGCAAGGAAAAATGATTGTGATTTTAACAGTAAAATACTGTAAAAATGCTACAGTAAAAACCTGTTAACTGGTTAACAGTAAGTCTCCATACTATACACGGTGAATAACTGTAATTACATTTAATGTAATTTTACAATAAAATACCGTAAATTGACACTCCCAGAATTCCCATCATATTTGATGTTTTTTTGTTGAAATAACATGTTTTTTCTTATCAGTTGTGTACATTAGGGTTTAATCTCACATCTCATGTTGTTAAATCAATGTTAATCATGTCGTGTGTCACCGTGATGGGGTTTAGTGTTTGTGTGAATGACACTGTGTGCACCTTCTATATATTATAAGTATATTATATATAAGTATTGTCCTCCTCAGCTCGTAGAAAAGCTGTTTGTGATGAGCTTTGGTTCATCGTGTGACTTTCTCATCGCCAGCAGTTTTTGCTGGTTATCAGTGCATTACAATGGTTCAAAACAGATATTAACACTTCAATATGTTGGTTTATTAGCATTGCATCAGTGAATGAAATACGGTATTTTATTGTGAATTTAAGTTAAGTCTGTAAAACCTAAAATGTTGCTACCATATTTTTTTACGATGAAGTTCTGGCAACCACAGCTGCCGGTATTTTACCGTAAATGTCACAGATTTTTTTTTACAGTGTAGTTATAGTTAGAACCATAAATATAACCATAAAAAACGTTACTTGAAACGAAATAAATGCTACATGAGATCAAATAAAATATATGTAAAAAACGTACATATGTTTTAATTCAGCTAGTTCCCCTCGGAAATATTTATCATTTTCATAACTAAAACTGAAAATAAAGAAAATAATAATAATAATGACAAAGACACTAACACAAAAACACTGAGCAAATTCTCATGAACTCATTCGAGCATTTATAATTTTATCGTAAAATTAGATTCGTTTCATGGAAAAGGACAGCTTCGACTCCTCTGGCAGCATCTGAGATTCATTTGATCTGATTCACTTTAACTGACCTGCAGAAGACTCTTAATACCGTGAAAACTTACTTTAGTAGCACGCGAGCGTGAATGGCAAGTTTTCAGTTCTTCATTTAAGCTCTTCTTCTCATTTAAGGCGAATGATTCGTCAGTAGAGTAGTCTGCTTGGTTCTACATGATCACAGCCAATCATAATATTAAAAATGAAATGTTTTGATGAATTATTGATTGATCATTTCTGAGTACTCAGGTACTCATGTACTCAGGTTCATCAGTGGGTGGCGTTTAGCTCTGTAACTCCCGCCTTATATTTAGCTGAACACAAACTTCTTCCACATATAAAAACTTACAAACGCTATCACGCAACCGACCGACTCGCCAGCTACCGCACGTCCACGCTCGCTGCGTGTGTGTGTGACGTGTGTGACGTGTGTGTGTGTGTGTGTAGCGACCAACAATTAGTCCAAGTGTGTGATCGTAATAATGGCTGTGGACGGTACAGATGAGAATAGTTTAGTAAGTGTTTTTCTATTTTTCTGCGTTTTGCCCCTGCTGGTAGATGCTGAAACGATCTGATCGGTGTTTTAGGTGAATGCAAGCGTCATTGAAAAGAATAGGAATGGATAGCTTTTCCATGCATCATATAGAGGGGCAAGGAAAAATGATTGTGATTTTAACAGTAAAATACTGTAAAAATGCTACAGTAAAAACCTGTTAACTGGTTAACAGTAAGTCTCCATACTATACACGGTGAATAACTGTAATTACATTTAATGTAATTTTACAATAAAATACCGTAAATTGACACTCCCAGAATTCCCATCATATTTGATGTTTTTTTGTTGAAATAACAAAAAAAATACTAATTCTAAAAAAATCTTTGCTTATCTGCATCTCATGCGAACATAAACTGACATGATCAGAGAACTGTGCACATATGTGGTTAAATTATTTAAATATTGTACAGTGTTTGCTCTCTAAAATCTTGGTTATATGTGCCATATGTCTCATAAGAATTCATCATTTTATTTTGGGGATGTCCGTCATGCCCTCTCCTTCCGAAACATGGGGGTTTTGCTGACCCCTTCATCTGTGTGACACCCAATAGTTCACATCTCAGGTCAGGAGGAACTGTACTTTGCACTCTGTTGACTTTTAGCTCAAATCAGATTATAAATAAAAGTCTGTGCACGTGTTTACCTGTAAACAGTGATTTACTTGATGTGTCACAGACACTGAGCAAATTCTCATGAACTCATTCGAGCATTTATAATTTTATCGTAAAATTAGATTCGTTTCATGGAAAAGGACAGCTTCGACTCCTCTGGCAGCATCTGAGATTCATTTGATCTGATTCACTTTAACTGACCTGCAGAAGACTCTTAATACCGTGAAAACTTACTTTAGTAGCACGCGAGCGTGAATGGCAAGTTTTCAGTTCTTCATTTAAGCTCTTCTTCTCATTTAAGGCGAATGATTCGTCAGTAGAGTAGTCTGCTTGGTTCTACATGATCACAGCCAATCATAATATTAAAAATGAAATGTTTTGATGAATTATTGATTGATCATTTCTGAGTACTCAGGTACTCATGTACTCAGGTTCATCAGTGGGTGGAGTTTAGCTCTGTAACTCCCGCCTTATATTTAGCTGAACACAAACTTCTTCCACATATAAAAACTTACAAACGCTATCACGCAACCGACCGACTCGCCAGCTACCGCACGTCCACGCTCGCTGCGTGTGTGTGACGTGTGTGACGTGTGTGACGTGTGTGTGTGTGTAGCAACCAACAATTAGTCCAAGTGTGTGATCGTAATAATGGCTGTGGACGTGGTTTATTAACATTACATCAGTGAATGAAATACGGTATTTTATTGTGAATTTAAGTTAAGTCTGTAAAACCTAAAATGTTGCTACCATATTTTTTTACGATGAAGTTCTGGCAACCACAGCTGCCGGTATTTTACCGTAAATGTCACAGATTTTTTTTTACAGTGTAGTTATAGTTAGAACCATAAATATAACCATAAAAAACGTTACTTGAAACGAAATAAATGCTACATGAGATCAAATAAAATATATGTAAAAAACGTACATATGTTTTAATTCAGCTAGTTCCCCTCGGAAATATTTATCATTTTCATAACTAAAACTGAAAATAAAGAAAATAATAATAATAATGACAAAGACACTAACACAAAAAAATACTAAAACTAAAAAAAACTAAAAAAACAATTATATATATATAAGTGCTGTCAAACGAATAATCGCGATTAATCGCATCCAAATTAAAAGTTTTTATGTACATAATATACGTATGTGTACTGTCTGTGTATATTTATTATGTATATATAAATACACACACATACAGTATATATCTAGAAAATATTTACAAATATATATATATTTATATTCATATAATTTATATTATATATAAATATATTTAATATATAAACATAACATATTTTTCTGAAACGTATACATGCACATTGCATTACCATGAAAAGGGTACATCAATATCATGTTACAAACTGTCTTCGTTCATGAATTATACAAACTTAAGTTTGGATCGTGCACTTTCACGTCTGTGTTCAAAAATGTGAGTGACAGTTCATATATTCATATAATTTATATTATATATAAATATATTTAATATATAAACATAACACAATTTTCTGAAATGTATACATGCACATTGCATTACCATGAAAAGGGTACATCAATATCATGTTACAAACTGTCTTCGTTCATGAATTATACAAACTTAAGTTTGGATCGTGCACTTTCACGTCTGTGTTCAAAAATGTGAGTGACAGTTCAAGGGTTAAGCTAAAAAATACTAAACAAAATGACAATTTATTATGGTTTTAACAACTGTAGCTGGAAGTGAACTGTGGTTACGGTTGGTTGGTGTACATGATATAGTTTCGACTCTTTACTGTAGGAACAAGGTGTTCACACAGAAGATGCAGCCCGTCTTCGAAAGACCTTCGGTGGATCTCTATCCGATCTCAGTCCGTCTCAGAAGTGTGGAGGTGAGAGAATCCGATCAACAACAGATCAGCAACACTTACACAATGTTTCAACAACTGTTCAGGGCTTTAAATTGAAATTTAATTAGGTGGTTGTAAAGTATTGTTATTTTTTTTATTAGCCTAATTAAAACAATATATTAATACATTTATAAAATATATATATTAAAATACATTATTTTATATATATATAATACAAGTATTTAAATGAATACACATACTCAGTCTACATTTCAATTTGCACATAATATACCTGTACATACAACTGTCGATTTGTATATTTTTATTCCTGATTTACTTGTTCTATTTTTAATTTATTTGTATTTTTTATTATCTGTGTTTATTATCGCTGTCATTCTGTTACACTGTGGAAGCTTCTGTCACGAAAACAAATTCCTCGTATGTGTAAACATACCTGGCACTAAAGCTGATTCTGATTCTGATTCTGATTCTGAATCTGTAATGTTTGATTAAGGTCAGTGTGAACAGTGCGCCCTCTACTGGACCAGGTGTGTGCTGATGCATTATGGGTAATGTAGTTCTCTCTCTCTCTCTCTCTCTCTGTAGCCTGGGCCTCACACTTTCAGCGGCTCTTTGTGTCGTTTATCGGAGCGGATTGGATCTACCTCATGATCCTGGGGTTCATCATGGCAGTGATCAGCTTTGTCATGGATGTCTTGGTCGACCTCCTCACAGAAGGTGAGTGTGTATCAGTGAGTTTGGGTGTCAGAATTAGCCAATAGACCTACAAGGTTATATTTAAAAATTGTTAAAATATTTTTAAAATGTTCCTGACGTTTATTAGAGTTTTTTTTCTAAAGAACTAGAGAATAAACCATTTTTTTTCTGGAGCTTTAGAAGTCTCTCTGACATCAGACTGTAAAACTATGTTTGATTCTTATTGCAACCTATTTGTTTGTTTGTTTTCAAGAAGCAAATAATTCAGATATGCATTTTGCTTCAAGACATTGAAGCCCATTTTTAGGACCACTCGGAATTCATTTCTGAAATGTAATGAAACCTCACAGGTTTATGAAGTATTGTTGTTTTTTAAATTCAGAACTGAATGACTTTGAATTACTACTTTTTCTATATATTTTTTATTACGCACGTTTTTATTTTAATCAATTATAATCATCAGTCTTCAGTTAAGTGTTGTAAATGTAACAGTGCACCCTCTCTGTTTCAAATGAGCTAATTAATGAATTATTTAATTCATTCATTCACCTCAAATATTTCTAGAAACAAATAATTATATAATCAGATAATGATATTTTGCTTCAAGAAAATTAAGCTCATTTTTTTAGGACCGTTCAGATGTCCTGACATTAAAGTATATTTCTGAAATTTGATGAAACCACACGTTTATAAATTATCTTTTTCTACAAATATATTATATACATTTCTGTTCTAATTAAAGTGCTTATTTGAAATATTTGTTTGCTTATAATTTTTCACCCCCCCCAAAGTTTGTTATAATTGTTCCCTGCAAAACTAATTGATGACTTGTTATTTTTTTGAATACTTTTATTATATAAACATATTTTATGTTAAAAAAAAAGCATATGTCTCTCCCAAATTTTTATTATTGTTATAAAATCTCATTCTCATTTCTCTACATCACACAGGTGGATCTACGATCTTGCGGACAGTCATGTTTTCCTGCAGTATTTGGCGTGGATCGCATATTCTATGTTTCTAATGTGTTTCGCTGCAGGATTCGCAAACATAGTTTCAATTCAGGCCGCTGGTGAGACGCACACATTCACAAAACATCACTACTGTATGTACAGTATGAAGCCAAACGTCCTTCATGAGCCTTTCAAACAGCTTTGTCCCTGATGAACTCTTTCTGTGATTCTTCATATAGTAACGTTTATAAGTGTGTGTGTGGCTCAGGGTCTGGTATTCCTGAAATGAAGACGTCTCTGAGAGGAGTGATGCTGCAGGAATATCTCACGTTCAAGACATTAGTGGCCAAAGTCATCAGTCTGACCTGTGTGCTCGGAAGTGAATTACCTGTGGGGAAGGAGTGTCATGCATTGCTATGAACTTGGATGGAGATCAACAGCAAGTTATAAGAGCCGATAAAGCCAGAAGCACTCACATTTAATCGTCAGATCAGTAAACAACGCAAAGCTAATCTGGCGACCTACAAGCCCAGCCGGTGGTGCGTTTTATCGCCTAGTTATTTAATAGATGTCAAGCAGGCTCATAGATGCAGCAACATGAACATGCAGCAAAACACAGACTCGCTATGGCGCTTCCTGTTCTCACACACACACACACACACACACACACACACAGAACACAGAACACAGAACACAGCAGGGAGCACAAAAAGATTTCCAAGCTGCTCTTCTTCTTCAAATGAAAGTGGATGTTAATACAGTTGCTACAAAAAAAGCATAAAAACATTGTTGCATCCACACACTTTTATAAAGCATTGTTCTCGATTGCTTAAACACATTTCTTGAAACTATGCCTCGTATTC